TACTCAGAGAGGTCCAGAGTCACAGCCATGATCCCCACGTCGAAGAGCACGGAAAGCAGGAGCTCCCCAGATGAGATTTCCCAGAGCTGGAGTGAGAGGGGACAGGAGAGTCAAGGGTGAGAATGTTAATGGCAGGATTGGAGGAGCACTGATATCCTGAAATCCCACACTGGTGTTCCAGCTGGGAAACTGAGTTCAAGGCAGAACCCAGGATCAGCCTCTGTGAGCAGCAGAGAAGTTTCCCAGGCAGCTTCAAAACAGCTCTGAACCCTCTCTGTGGCCATCCTGCCCCCAGGGCATCCCCTCCCCACAGGCTTCAGCCTGCTCTGCTCCCTGTGGACATCAGCAATGGAAAACTGAGGCTGACCCCGCCATTCCCAGGACAACAGGGACTGCAGCAGTCCAGCCTGGGGGCAGGTGCAGAGAAACTGCTGTTGTTGGAGAGGCAGAGCCCAGGTCTGGCAGCTCTGAGTCACTGCAGAGACAGCCAAGAAATGAAGCCACTGCAACCCGGCAAAGCTTGAGGACAGGGACAGCTTCCTGCTGGCTGGCAAGAGCCTGGCTGTGACCCCACAGGGTCTGGCACCTGTGAGATGAGCCTCACCTTGGCTGTCTGGTCGAGGGAGGCGGTGGCAGCCCGTGCCAGGGGCCCTCCAAAGCCGCAGCACAGGTCGGTGATGGGGAGGCTGTGCCGGGACCAGACGTGCCGGGGGTCAGGGATCTGGGAGGGCTCTGCCTGCAACACGCTGTGGGGAGAGCAGAGACAGGCAGGTCAGCCAGGACAGAGCCCCATGGGGAGCTGGGCCAGGCTCTGATCCCACTGGGAACGCCTCTCCTGGCTGCAGGGACCAAGTGGGACATGGGAGCTGCTGGCAGCCACGGCTCATGGATGCTGAGGCTGAGATCCCTCTCCCACAGGGACAAAGAGCCTGGGTAAAGGGCACAATCCCCTCTGTGTCACTCAGGGAAAGAAGTCAGAACCATGTGCTTGTTCCCAAGAAGCTCCCAAGGAAAGGTTCCCTGCCCAGCAGGAGGGCACAGACACAGCTGTGGGCTTAGAGGGATCTCCTGCTCCAAAATCTCTGTGCCCCCCTTACTTGTAGAGGTTCCACACCAGGGCCAGGCAGTCCTTGGCCCCTGAGAGGAAGTGGCTGCTGTCATCAGTGAAGCAGAGGCACGTGAGGTCCTGGTAGTGTCGGTTCAGGATGGCCAGGAGGTTCCCATTGGACACCTGCAGTGAGAGGAAGGGCAGGAGGGAGTCAAGGATGTCTTGGGATCATGTGGTGCCCTGCCCTTGGTGCAGTGAGGGGAGAAGGGTGGGTTCTGTTCCACCTCAGGACCACAGGGAAATTCAGCACATGGCAGTGGAAGAGTCCTGGCACTTTAAATCTGGAACCCAGTGATGCCAGAGCTGCTCCTCTGGTCAAGTCACAAGTGTGCAGTAAAGACTTCTTCACTCTTAATATTCATATTACTTTGGTGGCTTCTTCCCTCCTCCCACAGGTCCTCAGGAGGTGGCAGAGGGGTTATGAGAGCTGCAGGACACCCCAGGGGTGGCTCAAGGTCCTGGGCCAGCAGAGGCTTTAGGGTGGACAAGGAATGCCCCAAGCCTTTCTTATTAAAAGCAACACTGCAGATGGGGAGGGAACCAAGAAGAGAAAAAGCCTCAAATAAAATAAGAGTCTGCTTCTTCTCATGGTCAGAATTACACCAAAAAATCAAAGCAAACCTCAATTCAAGGGGTTTCAAAAGCCAACTCTAGGGGCTGGTTTCAGCTCCATGATGGTTTCCTCTCCAATGTGCCAGAGGGACAGTGCCATACCCTGGAACACATCTGAGGGTGACAGTGCCATACTCTGGAACACGTCTGAGGGTGACAGGAGCTGGAGTAGGGCCAGCATGGAGCATCACAGGCAGCAGCTCCCACTGCTGGCTCAGCCTCAGGGATGTTTTTCCAGCTACAAACACATTGGCACAAATAAACCCTGACGGGTTCAGGTAGAGCCACTCACACCATGAGGCTCAAACCTCCAGGTGAGGCATCCTGGGGTTTAATCCTGGGTTCAGGACAAGATTCTGCTTTCATTTGCTCAGTGGTGTGCTGGGAACACAGCAGCAATCCCAAATTAATCCAGCAGTAATTAACCAGCAGGACAATGACCAGAGCACAGCAGGGGCTGCTGGCACCCAGGGCACACACAAATACTCAGCTGAAATGTGGGAGAAGCACTGAAAGAAAACCAGATTCTGTGCTGCTGCCTCGTGGAAGCAATGCCTCATCCCTGAGGCACCAGAGATGCCTGGAAAGAGGAGAATGAGGCAGAGTGAAGCCTCTCCCTGAATTCCTCTCACTCCTACTTCAATGAGCCTTTATCCCAGGATCAGGAGTTACAGACATTGGAGGGATGGGGACCCTCCCTGACTGTGCAGGGTGTGAGTGTGAGTGCCCCAGCATCCTGTACCTCCCACAGACCGTGCAGGGTGTGAGTGTGAGTGCCCCAGCACCCCGTAGTACCTCCCACAGGTAGATGCTCTCGGCGACGCCCGCCAGGACGTAGAGCCCGTTGGGAGAGGCTGTCAGGCAGGTCACAGGCCCGGGACAGATGATTTTCTGCTGCAGCTGGTCCTGGCACAGAGAGAGCACAGCGAGGGCTCAGAGAGGGCAAGGGGCTGCAAGCAGGGACCCCCAAGATGGGGGCTCAGGGGGATCTCTGTGAACAGAGGGATGGGGGGCACCGCACAGGGTGATGGGGGTCGGAATAGAGGGAGGGGGGGCCTGAGGGTCCAACAGGGGACACGGGGGGGGGGGGGGGTCTCTGCAGAGAATTGGGCCATGAAGGGGTGTCTGAGCACAGAGGGGAGTCTCCACGAAAAGAGGGGCCGGGGGGGAGTCTCTGTGGAGAGAGGAGCCATGAGGGGGTCTGACCATGGATTTGGGGGGGCTCTGCAGACGAAAGAGCTCCTCATCACAGGGCCGGGGGATCCTCAGGAGGGGTGGCCCCGTCACATCCCCCACGGGGCCCGGAGTCCCCCCGCGAAGCCCGGGGCTGTCCCCCGAGCCGAGGCCGCCCGGGCCCGCCCGCCGCGCCGGTACCTTCCTCTGGAGCTCCCAGACGTTGATGTAGCTCTTGCCGAGCTGGGCCCCCAGCAGGTGCTCGCCGCCCAGCAGCGCCAGCCCGCGTGGGCCGCTGTTGCCGCCGCGGTAGCCGGGCAGAGCCGAGCCCGAGTGCAGCTCCCAGACCGAGCAGTTGCAGAGCGGCCCCGCCGCGTCCGACACCAGCGCCACCTCCATGGGCGCCGCCATCTTCGCGGTCCGCCAGGGCCACAGAGAGCGCGGCCGCGGCCCAGAGCGCCGCCTCCGCCGCCCGGCACTGACCAATCAGCAGCGGCGCCTCCGCGGCCGCGCAGGGCGGGAGCTGCGCACGCGGCAGGAAGCTCAGCAGGGCCCGCCCCGGTCGGTGCTGGATGGGTGACACGAGATACTGCGTGTGCACATGGGACCCCATGGACACCCCACACCTTATGGGGACCCTGTGGAGATCCCACAGCCTTATGGGGACCCTATGGACCTCCACAGCCCTATGGGGACCCCATGGACACCCCACAGCCTTATGGGGACCCCATGGACACCCCACACCCTATGGGGACCCTATGGACCTCCACAGCCCTATAGGGACCCTATAGATCCCCCAGACCCTATGGACCTCCACAGCCTTCTAGGGACCCCATGGGCACCCCACGGCCTTATGGGCACCCTGTGTGTACCCCATAACCCCTATAACCCCCACAGCCCCATAGGGACCCCATGGACACCCCATAATCCTATAGGCACCCCATAGCTTCGTGAGAACCTCATGAGCACTGCACAAAACCAAAGATGCCCTGGATAGCTCCCAATCCTATGGACACCCCACAATCCTACAAGCACCCCACAGCCCTATGGGGAACCCATGCACATCTCATAATCCTGTCATCACCCCATAAATCCATTGATACCCCACAGTCCCACAGGGATACCCCAAATCCATAAGGAAATCCTATGGGCACCCCTAAGGCAAGAAACTCCAAACACCACAACTTTTTTTTTTTTTTTTTTAATATTTCTTCACTTTACAGGGTTACAATTGTCTTAAATATTCTGACGTTTAAATACAATCTGTATAATAATGTTATTATAAAATGTAAACTTTCAGTGTTTTTTAAGTTTATTTTCTCTTTTTTTTTTAATTTTTTAAATTTTTTTTTTAATAATAATCAAAAAGTCTCAATACCTGAATGTTTTGCAAAACTGAAATCTTTCACCGGGGCCCCAGGTGCGCCCGAGGCCGCCGCGCTCAGAGGTAGAATGTGGTTTATTTTTTTATTCCTTTTTTTTTCTTTTTTTTTGTCTTTTGTGGTTTTTTTTTCTTTTCTCATTTTCCTTTTTTACCTGAGTTAAGATATGCAACGCTGGGGGGGAGGGGGGGCGGCTGCAGCTGGGGCCGCTCCTTTGAGTTTAATTTTCTTTCCAAACCCCCCCCTCCCCCCCCACCAAAAAAAACTGATTTAGGCTCTTTTTTATTATTTTTAAATTGATATGCAAAAAAAGAAAAATAAAGTGGAAAGTCACCCGCTCTCAAAAACAAAAATAAAGGGAGGGGCAGGGAAAGGAGGGGGAGGGAAAATAATTAAAAAAAAAAAAAACAACAAACCCAAAACAACCCAAAATAGTGACTGTACAATGCAAAAAAAAAAAAAAAAATCACTAAGAAAATCTAAGCCTGCCCTGGGTATGAAAATTCCCCCTTGGAATTTCTCCTTATGGGGAGCTGGGCTGGACCCCAACAGCAGCAGGAGCTGGATGGACCCTCCCAGGCCCCCCCCAAAAAGGGTCCATGAAGCCACCAAGACCTCCCTCCCCCAACAGAGCCACCAAGGGGATTCCAGCACGGAAAAAAAAAAACAAAAAACCCAAACCTGTCTGAAAACAACAACAACAAAAAAAAACAGCTGGGAAAAAAAAAAAACACCCAAATCCCCTGAGATCGCCACTTCCCCGAGTGAAATTAAAAATAAAGGTTGGGGTTGGGGGCACCTGGGGAAGGGGGAAAAAAACCCTGTGCTCCAGGTGGGAACCTGAGAACGGAGATACCGAGAGGGGGGTTCGGGGGTTTCGGTATCGGCTTGGATTGTGTCTCACGCAGATGTGGGTGAATATTTTTCTTTTTTTTCTTTTTTTTTCTTTTTTTTTTGTGGCAGGGGGGGTGGGGGAGGAGGGAAATATTTTAAAAGAAACTGAGATTGTGAGGCTTAAAAATAAAATGCTCAGGTCCTTTGGGTTGTCTGTGTGCTCCAGAGCATCCTGCAGCTCTGAGCATCCCCATCCTCTGGATCCTGCTTGGTTTTGGAGGAAATAAGCCCAAAGTGGCTTTAAACAGTAGTTTTATGCAGGGGGAGGAATAAAAATTAGGATTTGGCGGTGGGGGAAGGAGCAGAGCTGGACCCAACCACCGATAAGGAGAGGAGAAAGGAGATTCCAACTTTTTTCCAAGCTCCCATTTTCCCTGATGAAGACTAATATATATCATTTGCATGTTAAAAGATTGATTCTTTTTTTTTTCCTTTTTTTTAGAGAATAAAATAGAAGCTATTTACAACAAAACAATCGAAAACAACCTCTTAAAATCCTGCAGAGAGTGGAGTTCCCAAAACAAAGGAGGGAAAAGGATGGAAACGAATAAAATATCTCCCTATTTCCAATTTTAGGATTTTTGGTTTTGTTTCTTTTTTTTTTCCTTTAGAATTCCGGGGGGGTTTCGCTAGAGCTCGCGTCAGCAGGCGTCCGCGCGTCTGTCTGGAGGTAACACGAGTTAAAAAATAACAATAATTATAATAATAATAATAATAAATGTACAGTGCAAAGTGTGATGTGAGTGAGGTAAACGGTCCCGGAGCGGCGCAGCCGGACAGCCGGCGGCTCCAGCAAAACCCCCCGGGCTAAAGCTTTTCTGCCTGGAAAAGGAAAATCCAACAACACGAGAACAAGGGCAGGGTCCATCGAGAGACTGAGAAGACCCTGGAGAAACCCTGGCAAGACCTCGGGGGAGACCTTTGGTGAGACCTCAGTGAGATCCAGGTGAGATCTCAATGAAACCCTGGTGAGATCCTGGTGAAATCCTGCTGAGACCCAAGAGAGACCCTGGCAAGACCTCGAGCAAGATCCCAGAGAGATCCTGGCAAGACCTCGAGTGAGACCCCAGAGAGACCCTGGTGAGATCTCAATGAAACCCTGGTGAAATCCTGTTGAGACCCCAATGAGATCCTGGCAAGACCTCAGGCCAGATCCTGGCAAGACCTCGGGCCAGATCCTGACGAGACCCTGGCAAGACCTCGGGTGAGACCCTTGGTGAGACCCCAGAGAGACCCAGGTGAGATCTCAATGAAATCCTGCTGAGACCTCAGAGAGACCTTGGCAAGACCTCGAGCAAGACCCCAGTGAGATCCAGGCAAGATCTCAATGAGACCCCAGTGAGACCCCAGTCTCACTCAGGTCTTGGGTGACACCCTTGGTGAGACCCCAGAGAGACCCAGGTGAGATCTCAATGAAACCCTGGTGAGATCCCGGTGAAATCCTGCTGAGACTCCACAGAGACCTTGACAAGACCTCGAGCAAGACCCCAGAGAGACCCTGGCAGGACCTTGGGTGAGACCCTTGGTGAGATCCCAGTGAGACCCAGGCAAGATCTCAAAGAAACCCCAGAGAGACCCAGGTGAGATCTCAATGAAACCCTGGTGAGATCCCGGTGAAATCCTGTTGAGACCCCAGAGAGACCCTGGCAAGACCTCGGGTGAGACCCTTGGTGAGATCCCAGTGAGCCTCTGGCAGGACCTTGGGCAAGACCTCGAGTGAGACCCCGGCGAGACCCCAGAAGACCCCGGTGAGCCCCGGTGCGGCCCCGTCCCCCCGCGGGCGCCGGTGCCCGAGGCTGGGGCGTTAAGGCGAAGCGCTGTTGGAGGTAGAGCTGGGGGGCACGGCCAGGCCGGCCGGGGCGGGGGGCACGCTCCCACCGCCGCTCCCCACCCCGCTGCCGCCGCTGCTCCGGCTGCTGCCGCCGTTGCCTTTGCTGTAGGCAGAGGAGGAGGAGGAGGAAGAGGAGGAGGAAGGGCCGGGCGTCTGGGCGAACAGCACACCTGGGGGAGAGAGCAAAGCTGAGGCACAGGTGCTGCGAGAGGGGTGGAGGGCAGCAGGAGCGTGGCGCAGGGCAGCCCCTCACCTGTGTAGACGATGCCGTTGATCTCCACGGACATGCTGATGCTGTTGGTGCCGTTGCTGCTGGCGGCAGCGGCGTCCGGGCGGTTCTCTGCCGGGAAGAGCCGCGTTACCGAGCCCGCCGGGGCCGGGAGCTGGGCGGGGACGCGAGGCCGGGGCCGGCACTGACCTGGCGAGCGTGTGCCCTGGCTGTTGATGCGGATGCTCATGGGCAGCTGGGCCGTCATGGCCAGGAGGTTCTGCTGCAGCGCCCGCTGCATCAGCCGCTGCTGCTCGTCCGTCACCAGCGCCAGCTTCTTCTCCGGGGGCTCTCCCGACTCCAGCTTCTCCCGCAGCTGCTCCAGCGCCGCGGCCTGGGCGGCTGCTGCCACCTGCACCGCGGCCGCCTGCGCCGCCACCACCGGGTGCCCGGCCAGGGACACCGGGAGCCGGCTGGGCATGGAGATGGGGATGGGAGAGTCCTCCTCTGCCGGGGGAGGGGGTGTCAGGGATGGGGACACAGGTGGTGCCACCACCCCAGGGTGTCAACAGTTTGGTGCCCTGCTGTCCCTCCAAAGGTCACAGATGGGTGATTGGAATCAGGGCCCTCAGGCTGAGCCCTGGAGCCCAAGGAGGGGAGAGCAGCATCACCCCCCTGCCCACTTCCCCCAGCTCTCCCCGTTATTATTACATGTCCAGAGCTTAGCAGGGGGCTCAGCTTGCAACCAGACCCTGTAGCAACCAAACCCTGGAGCAGGCAGACCCCAGAATAATCATTACCTTTCTTGATCTTCTGGCCAGGCGTGATGGCCCCGCCATTGGTGGCAGATGCCAGCCCCAGCGCCGGCACTGGCAGCTTGGGCGAGGAGAGGAGGCCGTGGGTGCCACCAGGTGAGTAGGCAAAGAGGGAGCCCCCGAAGCCCTGCCGCCGGCCCTCCCGCCGGTTGCTGTCGATGGCTGCCTGCAGCTCGTTGGGGTTGCTCAGCCCACGCTTCTCACACTCGTAGGGGTACAGGTACTTCATGTACCTGCGGCCAGATGGGACATGGGAGGGATGGTGAGGGTGAGGCAGTGGCTGGGCACCCCTCCCCGTGTGCCACCCCCATTGTTCCATCCCCACTGCTCACACACACAGGGTTGTGCTGAGCCTCCATCCCCACCATGCACAGGGCAGGGGGACCCCCAAGGACTCCCCGTGTGCCACCCCCATTGTTCCATCCCCACTGCTCACACACAGGGCTGTGCTGAGCAAGAGGGACCCCCAAGGACTCGCCCCCTCCCCTCCGAGCCCCCTCTCACTGGGTGCGCAGGGTGAAGGCCGCGCTGGTGATGGAGGTGGGCAGGCTCAGCCCCTTGGTGATCTCCCGCCACAGCTTCTTGTTGATGACCTCCACCAGACCCCCCTTCTCGGTCACCAGCGTGTACAGCATGTACAGGTCCAGCACCTGCTTGGCCATGATGGGGATCCGGTTCACGGGGGTGCCTGGGGAGCGGCGGGAGGAGAGAGCGGCTCTGGGGTGCTGCTTTCTTACCCAAAGTGGGGGCGCAGCTGCTGCTGAGACCCCCGCGGGGCAGTGGAGGGGCTGGGGGGGGGCTCATGCTGCTCCCTCCCCTTCCACTGCCCCCCTTCTTTCCCCCCCCCGGGCCCTCCCTCTGAGATCAGCCCCGAACAAAGGAAACAGAAACTCGCAGTTTCCAGCCACAGCCCCGCCGTGGCTGAGCCGGTTCCTCGGGCTGAGCCGGCACCCGGCAGCAACGCGAGTTATTTATAACGGGGGCGGCGCAATCCGGCTCTGAGGGTCTCCTATCAGCCGGGGGGCTCGTCCCTCCAGCTTGAGGAGGGGGCTGGCATCCCTTATTGGGGTCCCCACCCTCCCAGCCATGCAGTGAGGGGGTTCTGGGGGGACCCCGATGGATGCGGGTGGGCCAGGATGGTGGGGGGACCGCAGGGGACAGGACAGATCCAGGGGGACCCTGGGGGACCCAGCCAGCAGCCCCAGCCCCCCTGCACAGGCACACGTGCCTTCCCAGTGCTGTCTGACAAAGGGCCAGAGCCAGCCCTGTGTCAGCACTTCCAGAGCTGTTTTCCACGCAGGAACCAGACCCTCGAGCAGGAGCACGCTTGGCTTTCAGCCCTTCCCAGCCCCGGCCCCCCAGCCACGGCCTCTCCCCGGGCACAGAGAGGGGCTGCAATAACCCAGGGAATGGGCAGAGGGGGCACACTGCCAGGGGCTGCAGGTCTGGCTGTGAAGGGAGGGGGACAAGGGGGGGCCGCAGGCTCTGGATCCAGCCCAGCAGGTTTGACCCCCCCTGTACTGAGGGGGTTAAAGATTAACCAGCAGCTCAGCCGGAGCCGTGACCTCAGGGCACTAATGAGGGGCAAGGAAATGAGCCCCTGGCCTTGGGGGGGACATCAGGGGGTGCAAGGTGGGTGTGGAGGAGCAGGGTGGGCACAGAGTGGGCAGGGGGCACAGGGTGGGTGTGTAGCTGGGTACTCACCACGCTTCTGCATGAAGCTGAAGAGGTCATCCAGGAACTCCTTCCTCCTGGGGTCGCCATCCAGCTCGTACAGCTGCATAAGAAGAGAGAGGTGCTCAGAAACCCCCTTAACCTGTGTGTCCCCCCAACCTGAGACCCCTGGCTTCCTCTGCAGCAGCTTTAAAGGACACCAAATGGCTCAGGGGTCCCTGCAGAGCTCCAGGGGGTCCCTGCACAGCCCCAGGGGGTTCCTGCAGCTTGGGCTGACCTTGTGCCCCACTGTGCCATGCCCTGCCAGCCCTGGTTGTAGCTCAGCTCCGGGATGCCCGTGCTGGGATCACGGCTGGAGTGGCTCCCAGGCTGCCAACACCGTGCTCGGCCCCAGCTCCTCCCAGGAACGCTGACCCCGGTTATTTTTAGCATCCACTGCCTGCTCAGCACAGCAACTCTTCAGCGTGGTCCCTCCACGCTTGGGGTGCCACAGAGAGCCGTGGCCAGGAGCCAGTGTGCCTCGCCATGAACCTGTGTGCCACCGCCCTGCAGGGACATGTCCTGCACTGAGGGAAGGCAGAGCTGGGCCAGGCTCTGACACGCTGGAACCACCTCAATCACCAGCTCTGCTTGGGGCATCTTCATCTGGGACCCCCCACCCCGGCAGCCCGGCACATTCCTGCCTGATTTATGGCTTTTATGGCTCAGGACCGGCCGGTTGGAGCGCCCGGCACGCCGCAGGCACAAACCACGCCACGCCAGGCGGCCTCTCCCCAAGCCCAGCGCTGTTTCTGCCTGGAGGCCGGTGGATAATCCCCCCTCCCAAACCTGGGAAGGGTGTTGGAGAAAGGGCTGTGGGGGCAGGCGTTGCCCAGACACCACCAGGGTGGCGGCCACAGCTCCGCTTTTCTCCGTGACAGCTCTGAACAACTGCCAGGGGGGCCGGGAGGGGCCTATAAATAAATAAATACCCCCCATAATAGGCCAGGCACGCACTGTGGGTCACTGGGTCACCCGTGTGCCCGCTCCCTCCGTGGCATCAGGACCGTGGGCAGGTGGATGGGTGGGCATGGTCCTGCCTTGAGCCCCCTCCTCCTGCAGCCCCGCAGGGAGGATCCGGATCCTGCAGGGCCGGACTCGCCCGCCGGCACCGATCAAAGGGATCAATGGGGCCGCGTGATAAGCGGGGCCATAAACCCCCCCCCAGTTCCCCTGGGAAACTCGGCAGGCTCGACCAGACCCTTGCACACCCCCAGGGCAAGGGCAGGAGCCACCAGCACCACCAGCAGAGACCCTCAAAGCCCCTCTCCCACCCCAGCACCCCAGTAAGGGTCTGGTGTGGGAGTGCTGTAGGGGCAGTGAGCCATGGCACAGCAGCAGTGCTGTGATTTTTGGGGCTGAGCTGCACTGGGCTACTTGTGCCAGCTGAGTGTTGTTGGGCTGGTGCCAATCCAGCCTCCCCCGTTTCCTCGAGCAGCTCCAAAAGCCACACACAGAGAGAAAGGGCTTCCCCAGCGCCCGATCCTGCAGGGTGCAGAGCCATCCTGGGGAAGCACTGAACACTCTCTGGTTCATCCACTGCCAAGACCCTCGGGGTCATGATCCACCCCCCTCCTGGACTCAGTCCCGAGGGGAATGGATGTGTTTAAGAGGATGAAAGAAAATTAACCGTCAGCTGAGGAGAGCGTGGCCGGCCAGGACAGGGGGATTAGTGGCTGCGGCGGGCGGCTGCCCCGAGTGCGAGCCCCGGTGGTCCCATGCCAAACTCAGCTGATTGCAGCCACTCTCAGCCCTGCCCAACTGTGATGAAGCCATGGGGGTGCCCAAGGATGGCGGGCAGAGGGATCCCTGCTCTTGCACCCGCCACGGCTGCCAGGCAGAGGATGTTGCACAAGCTGCTGCTGACGGTTACTTGGCAGCTGTTCACTGACCACTGCAGTGCCAAGCAGAGAAACAGGCTCCCCTTGGGACCCCCCAAACCCTGGTTTACTTCTGCCACTGCCAACCAACCGCCAGTGACGGGCACCTGCCCAAGGTGCTCATCTGGCAGCGCTGTGGGGCGAGGACATGCCCAGCCACGGCTGGGACGTGCCTGGTGTGCACTGTGGTGTGTGACAGAGCGCATCTGCCAAGCTGCCCCTGTTCCCCCTCGACCCCCAGCACAGGAGGACACGGAAGGGGACAGACAGAGACGAGTGACTCCCAGCTGCCCCTCGCAGGATTTCCTTGCATTGACGCCATCCGCAGCCAACGGCAAAGCAGCCCCGAGAGCCCCAACGGCAGCGCAGGACAGCTGGGACAGCGGGGCTCAGAATGCAAATTGGGGAACAGAAACGTTCTGGTTTTGGCAGCATGCGAAACCCAGCGCGCAGCTGAGCTTGGCACAGGCCGGCGGCTGCTGGCGCTGCTGCACCGAAATCAGCAGGTGCTGAGTCTTGTGCCTGCTTGGTGCTGATCCCTGCCCCGTGCCCGTGCCCTGGTTTGTGCTCAGCTCAAGGCCAGCTCCTCGCAGGAGCACGTGGCGTCTCGGTGCTCGGTGCAAAGGTACCGGCGTGCAGGAGCAAGGCCGCCCGGTGCCTCTGAGTCAATACATTTATGTTTCGTAATTAGGGAGCTGGAAACGACTTAATCCATAACGCAGCTGCCCCAGGAATATCCTCTTACCGTGGGGTCCCCACGGCAGGGTGTGGTGGCAGGGCATGACTGTGGTACAGCCATCCCAGCCTGGCTGGGGGCAGCAGGAGATGCTCCCCATCTCCCTGAGAGTCCCCTGGGCTGGGGGATGTGACTCCATGCACCCAGTGCTGACCATTCCAGAGTGAATGCTCAATGCCAGCAGCATGGGGTGGCTCTGGCCACAGTGTCCAGCCCACCTGGCCACAGCACAGCCCCTCAGCCCCCGGCCGGCTGAGGACACGGAGCCAGATGGCCGTTGCCAGCAGATCCATAATTAAGTGGAGGAGGAATTAGGCAGGCGGTGGGCGGGTGGCCCTGACCCCGGCCCCAGCACCCCCCGGCAGGATGCCGGCCCGGCGTTTGGTGTGGATGACCGGATTAATGTTTCAAACCAGATTACAGGAAAATCCCAACCCCGCTGGCTTTCAAAGGGCAGCCGGGAGGCGGCCCCTTGGCAATGCCAGGAATGCGGGAGAGCCCTCGGCACGGGCTCGGGGCGTGCCTGGAGGGGGGTCCAAACCCTCCCCAAGCCCCCCCCTCCCCGAGCTGGGGCAACGGGGGACAATTACAAGCAGGAGGGGAAGAGCCATTTCACAAGGCTCATGGTGGTGCCAGGCAAATCCCCCCTTCGGCAGGAGTCCCTTGTCTGCCCCATGAGGAGTCCATGTCCCTGCATCCCACGTCCGAGTTAAAAACATAAAAACACCTCCCCTTCCCCCCCACCCCCCAATGCTCGGTTCCGGGTTTTCAGGCCTCGGGGATTAATTTTCAAGTTTCTTTTCCATTGCCAGGAAGTGGCAACACTCTCGGTTTTCCTCCTTCTCTCCAAAACCGGTTTGAGACGTGCACACCGTGACGTGAGCCGGGACTGGGGACAAGACCCAAGGGCCACTGCAGCAGGGATGGGGGCTGGTGGCAGCCTCCACCTTCCAGGGGCTAAACTCCCCCAAATTCCTGTATTTGAGGAAAAAACACAACGCAGGCAGCGGCGGGGAGAGCTCGCCCTGTCTCGGCAGGTAGCAGCACCAGCGGTGACAGGATCGAGGGGTTACTTCTCTCCTTTTCTTTCTTTCCTTCCTTCCTCTGGCAGCCCCCGGGGATGCATCCCTTTGTCCCGCGGACAGCGAGGGGCCACGCTGGGCTGGGGGAAGAGCCGGCGCACACTAACGAGTTCTTTAACGAAGAATAAACACATTTATGGCGCGTTTCCCGTCCCACTCCCAGCCCGTACACAGCCCCCGGCCTCTGGCACGCCGGGACCCGCAGTGGGGTCGGAGAGGGCACTTATTCAGAATAAGAAAGTCGTTTGTAAAAACCAGAGCCAAGGATTGACGAGAGCGTTTCAGAGGCGCTGGGGATGTGATTTCCTGTAAGGTGATGGCTGAGTCAGGGCTGGGGGTACCCGAGGCAGCAGCCCCTCTCCACAGGCACAGAGTGCAGGGTTTGCTGGGGTAAATCCCTCCCGGTGAAGGGCAAAGGGAGCAGTCCAGCCCCGGAGCAGATTCCTACGCAGATAAAGCGCTCGGCTTAGGTACAGGTCACCCCTGGCTGTCCCCATCCCTAATCCCCTGCGAGCCCCCTAGGGCACAACCCCCCGTGGGAAGGGGCTGCTGGGAGCAGGGAGGTGTGAGTGCCCCTTCCCCAAAAATGTCCCAACGCTTTGCTGGTGGGGGATGTGCTGGCTGGAGCCTCGCCCACACGGCCAGGCCCGGCGGTGACTCCACTGACCGGCCCGGCGGGATTCCTGCCGCCGGAGCATGGCCGGGCTGGGCTGGGGGGCCGCTTCCGCGGGGGCAGCTGGGCAGGGGGCCCGGGAGCTTCCCGTCGGCACCATTGTTCACACCGGTTCCCAGCATTGTCCCCTCTTCAGGGGACACGGCCCCGACCGCAGGTGCCTCTCTGCACCAGTGCCTCCTCCGCGGGCTGGACCCGGCGGTGGGCACAGCATCCATTGGTGACAAACCCAATCCCGATCCATCAGCACGGCAGTCTGGGGGTCCCCGAGACCAGCCGGCGCCCACCTCCTCCTCACACGGGCTGGGGGGAAGGAGCCATGTGGGTGACCCTGGGGGTACACGGGCGGTGTCACGGCGCAGCGGGTGTCACGGCACGGCGGGTGTCCCCGAGCGGCGGAGGGGACGCTGAATGGGCGAATTAGTCACCGTTTAACCTCGCTGACCCCCCATTGTCCGTGCGCTGTCGGCCGCCCTCCCCAGCACGGCCGTGCCGCTGTGCCCAGCCAGCCGGCAGCTCCCGGCATCCGTGTGCCTGATTCCCCTGCTCTGACACCGGCTCCCGGGACGGCTGTGCCACTGCTGCTTGCTCCCAACATCCCAGGATCCGTGTCCCTGATCCCCCCAGGCTGACACCGGCTCCTGGGATGGCTGTGCTGCTGCTGCTTGCTCCCAGCATCCCAGGATCCGTGTG